TAGATGGATATCCGGCTCCAAAACCTCCTCCGTGACCGGAGCCGCCGCCAACACCACCACCTCCGCCGCCGCCGAACCCACCTCCACCGCCAACTCCTCCACCGGTACCAGCACCACCGCCGACGCCACCACCAGCTCCAAATCCTCCACCGTGTCCAGATCCACCACCGACACCACCTCCTCCACCACCGCCGAACCCACCTCCGCCCCCAACTCCTCCACCGGTACCGGCACCACCGCCGACTCCACCACCAGCTCCAAATCCTCCACCGTGTCCGGACCCACCACCGACACCACCTCCTCCTCCGCCTCCGAACCCACCTCCGCCGCCAACTCCTCCACCAGTACCGGCGCCACCACCTACACCACCTCCAGCTCCAAATCCTCCACCGTGTCCGGACCCACCACCGACACCACCTCCTCCTCCGCCTCCGAACCCACCTCCGCCGCCAACTCCTCCACCAGTACCCGCGCCACCACCTACACCACCTCCAGCTCCAAAACCTCCTCCGTGACCGGAGCCACCACCAACACCACCACCCCCGCCACCACCAAATCCGCCACCGCCGCCAACTCCTCCACCGGCACCAGCACCGCCACCTACACCACCTCCGGCTCCAAAACCACCACCATGGCCAGCACCACCGCCAACACCACCTCCGCCGCCGCCGCCGAAGCCACCTCCACCTCCAGCGCCGCCGCCAAAACCGCAGCGGCCGAACCGAGGACCACGAGGTCCAAACCGGCCTCCGCAGCGGCGGCTCCACCGGCAATCATCGTCCCTAAACCCGTCCTTCACCACGGCATCATCTCCAAGAACACATTCAACACTCAATTGAAGGGAAAAAACCAAGACAAGAAGCAAACAAGTAACCCTTTTCTGTTCCATGATCTCTTAGAAGAGCTACCCGGATTCTTGTTTCTTGTCTTGAAACAGTGATCCACACCTTCGCTTATATAGATGCGCAGTTACTATCACTCTGTGGATTCAAAAACAAAAAAAAATCAAGTGGACGTAGAAGCCATTAATATGGATCATCATGCATGTTCGGTACGACGCGTTCGGAGCGTTGGGGAATTAGCGGGAAACATTAAATGAGATATGTTTCTTCAAAGTCAAAAGTCAAGGATCTAACCCTAGCTGTGTCTGTCTGAGTTTCGAGCTCCATTTACTCATTAATTTCATTACATGCAACGTCCAACCCGCTATGACCCTTCAACCGTCGCATCGGATCAAGAGTTTTTGGATAAAAACGATATAATATGATGAATATATCAAAGATCTTGCACCAAATTAATGTCTATAACGCGAAATGTATTTTATTTTGGACCTATTCGTACCATCTTAATATGATATGATACGATAGGATTGATGATTATATGTATAGTGTGTCGAATACACTGGTTACAAATGAAATCTTCTAGTCAACGGGGTCGACATAGTCAGCGTCGAAAATAAATTGGGTTCACATGCTCTTCGAAATATCTTGTCTAAACACCATGTCAAAAAAATATTTAATGCACTTCCAGATCCATTTCAAAGTAGAACAAGCATACAAAGAAATGATATAAGTACTTATAAATGCATGTCTACATTTAAAAAAAACGCATAAAAAACTACTATATGAATGTATCATACAAAGTTTTTTTTTTTTTTGATAACCATGATGGTTCTTCGGGCATCCACCCTAGGTCCAAGACCAGTCTTTGTAGACCATTTTAATCTAGAAATTACATCCCTCCCCACCACCAGTGGAATCGAACCCAAGACTTTGAGGATGACTTTGTCACCACTCAACCAGTGGACCATCACCTGTTGGGTTCATATAAAGTTATCTTGGCGAACTTTGTGAGTTTTTTAAAGGATTTAAGAAATAAAACCGTAAGCAATATAGGTTTTCGAGGGTTTGAATTCGATTCTTCAGAATTTCATAATATACATGATTTGGTCATGTAATAAAATTAAACTGAACGGAGTTTGTCCCGATGGGCCGTTCCGTTTAGCTTAGTGGGCTTCTTATGACAAACTTCTTCAACACGGCATGTTATTGATCACCCCCATGCCTCAATGTTTATTTTTAACTTCTTTTTTTTCACATTCAATCTCACATGTTACAACCCATTTTGATTCTTTAAAACTAACATATTTCCCGCGAAAATCGATAGTTGATTTCATCAACCCGGTCGATGTCAAAATTGATTTGCCTCGTGAACCAATTCACTTTTTTGAATTAGATTCAGAAAATTCGAATCAGAAAAAAAAAAAACAGTCCAATCGATCGAATCTACGAGCCGGCTCACGAAAAATAAATAATATATTTTTATTTTATTTTTAAAATAATGTTATTATATTTGATATTTTTTATTTGGTTTGTGAGATCGTAAAAAATGGGTCGGAGCGATTTGGGCTCAAAACGAACTAACTCGGACCAATTTAGATGGATATGGAATTTACATCACAAACCCGATCATTGGCGAATAAAATGAAAATGGTATGGTTAATAAAGCGATCCAATGCATAAGATGTTGTTGAAGAAGAAATTGACTCGTATTAATTAATAGAGAATATCTCTAAAATTATCGAATTATATTATAGATATATAATATATAATAAAAACAATCTCATAGAAATATATCAACTTTAAAAATATACCAAATAAACACATCAACTTTTAATTTGATCTAATTAATATCTTAAATATTAAAATATTTTAAATTAATACTTTAATGATTGAAATATTTTAAATTAATATTCTAATTCACGAAATCGAGCCCAATTTACAACTTCGATTTACTTTTTATATTAAAAAATAATATCTAATTTGTACATTATCATTAGAGTTGAAGTTGACAATTACTATCGATTTTATGAGTTGAGATATCTATTTAAAATATTCTATGTATCAATTTAAAATATTTTAACATTTAAATTATTGATTAGATCAAGTTAAAAATTTAAATATTTATTTGATAATTTTGTAAAGTTTAGATATTTTTATAATTTTTTTATATAATATTAGAGATATTGTAATAAATAGTAATAGATTATTTGACCAAAATAAGTAGGGAATTCGGAAGATAAGAGTGAGATAGATAGATTGACGTCTTTAGAAGTGATTGCTTGTAAGACTCCAACTCTATCTATCCCCATGCGGAGATATCATGCCAACGTAAATTTGCATGAAATATTGCTTGATATTACCCTCTTTTTTTCCCTTTTAAAAAATATTATAATATTATATTACATTATATTATTCTTTTTTAAAATCTTTTCCCGATACTGAAAATACTAAAATAATGGGAATAGACAGAAAAAGCATGGAGGCAGTGGAGAGAGAGAGAGAATAAAGGGCAAAACGCGTCTTTGAGGAGACGTACCATTAGGCATGCAACAATGCGCCGGCCGAGAAATAAGCTTATTATTATTATTAGTAATAATAATAATAATAATTAATTTATCCCCAAATTATTTTCTTAATTTCAGATATTTGGCACCGAAACTTTAGTTACGGTCCATGTGTTTGCGCTGTTTTTAATTTGGGAGGGACATTGCTTTCGTGAGCGAATAGAACTGCTTTAGATTAATTATGAACTAATTAACTATTTTAGGAGTGCGGTGAATGATATGTTGGGTCGGATTTGAATGTCTTTTACAAGTCATTTTCAATTAGATTCCACGTTAATGTAATTAATGATTTTTTTACTATTTAATGTTCCATGAAATAATTAATGTAGCTTTTGAATCACAGTTTATATCTTTTTTTTAAACAGGCCAAAACTTGAGGTCGATTTCGAATGTACGTGAGATTACGGGGTGGTAAATTATTATTTTTCTTTGTTTCTTTAAATATTTTTGGTGGCCAGTAAAATTATTATTTTTATCTTTTAATATATTATTTACAATTTTCACGTCAGATTCTCAATTTTTTTTTTTTTGTGTGTTGCACCGTCTTTCTCCTTGATCCGAAGATAGACTCAAACACTTACGAGCAGCACACGCAATTCAGACAAGAATCTCCTCTCTCTCTCTCTCTCTCTCTCTCTCTCTCTCTCTCTCTCTCTCTCTCTCTCTCTCCCGGGATTAAACTAATCAGAGACAGCAGAAAGATACAAAAGAAGACATTAAAGTTAAATAAAGCACTTACTGACACCAGCCAGTTTATTACGTAATAAAAAACATGTTATGTATTATGCTCCCAAAATAATACATGAACCCCATAATAAATAAACCCCTAACACCAAAATTCACCATTTTCTCCATTCTTTTTCTCTCTCTCTCTCTCTCTATATATATGGTTAGATTCTATAGAATATATATATATATAAATGGAGAGGATGGGAGGGGGAGAGAGGGGGCTGAAGAAGGGGCCGTGGACGGCGGCGGAGGACGCGTTGCTGACGGAGTACGTGAGGAAACACGGCGAAGGAAACTGGAACGCCGTCACGAAGAAGACGGCGCTCGTCAGATGCGGCAAAAGCTGTCGGCTCCGGTGGGCGAACCATCTCCGACCAGACCTCAAGAAGGGTTCTTTCTCTCCCCACGAAGAAGCCGTCATCCTCCTCCTTCACTCTAAGCTTGGCAACAAATGGGCTCGCATGGCTTCTCAGGTCCTTCTTCTTCTTTTTTCTCTTTTTTCTTTTTCCATATTATATTTGTTTCAGTTCTTTCTTCTAAATATATATATATATGTATACACACACACAGACGCGCATATAACCAGAGTTTTACGATTAATCTACCAAAATTCTTTTTAATTTTCTGGCTGAAGAATCTCTGCCATGATTCCTCTTTTTAAGAATTTTTGTTTAATCCTCGGATCTTTTTCTTTTTAATATAACTTTTGGTATTATATATATATTGTCTGTGATTCTTATGTTCTTTAATTTTTCTGGATTTCTCAATATATATATCTTCCTTAATATAACCTCATTAACTTCGTCGATAATTAGAGCCTTTGGACATTAACATTTTGTCTTAGAGTATACATCCACATGTTTGCAGATTTATTGAATAATAATTAATCATAATGCATACTGACAAATTCCTTTTGATTTTTGTTACAACACAGCTTCCAGGACGGACCGACAACGAAATAAAAAACTATTGGAACACGAGGATGAAGCGACGACAAAGGGCCGGTTTGCCCATATACCCTCAATCAGAAGATACCCAAGGGGACTCATCTTCTTCTCAATTCGAGAACCGAAATAATCGAAACATGATCATGCCTACTCCTTCCAATTCTCCATCCTCCTCCTCCTCTTCTTCTTCGTCTTCTCGGCCCCGGAAACGTCATTGCCTCGACCCCAATTTCTCTGCTCCCTCCCTTGACCCCATCCCTTCAGATCATTCCATGAGTTGCCAAATGTTCCCTGCAAATCACGGCAATGATAGTTGCAAAGCCGGTTTCGGCTTTTCTCTCCCTTTGTCCGCGCCTTCGTCTTCGAGTGACATGTCCAACCCTAACCAGCTTCTTGAGTTCGTGTCCGAGAACTCGAGCACATGCAAAAGCAAGAGCAGTGACTCTGGATTCATGAGTTACAGTTCACTGCTAATGGGAGAGGCTACGGAGCTGTCTTCTTTTCCTCTAGGGCTAGATGCCTTAGAGCTCCCTTCAAACCAAACAGTACCGACACGTACGTTCACTTCTTACAGTCTTGATGATAACGTTTTCGATCCGATGCCACGTGGTAATAGCGGTTTGCTTGATGCCCTTTTGGAAGAGTCTCGAGCTTTGTCTCGAGGTGGAGTGTCAAAGGAGATTAAGAAGAGGGTTGATTCTTCGGATCAGTCATCGACCGGTAATTAAGCAAAGCATAAAAAGATTTAAAATCTTGTTTTTCCTTTTCATTATATATATATATAATTTCATATTGAGAAGTTTTTGAACTTTCCAATTTATTTAGAAAGAAACCCTAGTTACAACAACAAGTACGAGGAACCAACATGGGAGAAAACCATGGTGGGTGATGATGATGACGACTTGCTCACGAGCCATCTCAACAATGTCCCTTCATCCACACCGTTGTGTGATTGGTACCGTGCGGCCGGAAACAGATCCGACCGCTCAGATTTCGCGGCAGGCGATGTCAGAAACCTTCAAAACAACGGTCTTGGATCTTGATCCATCTTCCGTGTGTCGTGGAGTTCATGCTACATGTCCAAGAGTTTGGGAATTGATTTCCTTTTGAATTGCTGTGAGACTTTTATTTAATTTTGCTTATTTTGTATGCGATCTCAATCTCCATTGCGTTAAGATGTTCATGTGAAATGCAGACAACCGGAAATGCAATTTCAATTCCAACAGATGGAATCGAATGCGGAAAACCCAATGTCTGTAAGGAAAAAGAAACAAAAAATTGCCCAAGTTTTATTTAGAGTCAATAGGATATTTTGGCAAGAGAGCTGACTACGCCTGTACACACACACGCATATATATACATATATATACCTATATATATATATATGAATTAGAAAAATTGTAAAGAGCTATGAATTTCAGTGACGTACGATCTTAAAGATCGACTCGGAATACATGAAAGTTCGACGATAAGAAAGTATTCAAAAAATAAATAAATGTAATCGTCACTCTGCATCTTGTATGTACTCGTCATTCTATGTGCTGTACGATTTCAGAATTTAGTTTTAGATTCTCAATTTGTTACAGGAAAAATCCCAAAATAATAACTGGATTTTTCAATTTTCACAAAATAAAATCTAAACTTTATTTTTTATCAAATAAAACATCAACTTCATTTTTCAGTAAAAAATAAACCTGAACTTTATAATCTTTATCATTTTTAACCCTATTGCTAACATGATGTTCCGATATCGTGACACGTGGACGATGATGTGTCAAATACGGTCAAAGTATTGACTTGCCACGTAGAATGTCGGAACTCCACGTCAGTAATAGGTTAAAAATGACAAAATTTATAAACTTCAGGTTTATTTTTTACTGAAAAATGAAGTTGATGTTTTATTTGATAAAAAATAAAGTTTAGGTTTTATTTTGTGAAAATTGAGAAGTTTAGGTATTATTTTGGGATATTCACTTTGTTATATCCTTTTTTTATATATAGTTTTATGTGTCAAATACATGCGCACACATGTGTGTATATAAATATATTGAGAAATAATAATAATAGTAATAATAATAAATCAGATAAATTAATTGAAATTGGGGTGATGTCAGTCATATGGAGAATTGTTATTTCACACTCTTGGAATAATAATTTCCTTAAATTCTGCAATGAAAACAGACCCAAAACGAAGTGCAAGTGGCCCATAAAAAATTCCCCCACTTTCTCTTAATTTTTGTTCACATTTATTTATGGGATGAAGCCTTTTTATTTCCACACCTTATCTCAAGGTGACGTCACAATTGTTGGAGTTGGGTCCAGATTCTTGTCATCTAAAGTCTAAACACTATCTTTATGACGTATGTTTGTGTGTATATTAAAAAATCATTGTTTTATATTGAAAACTAACAATTGAGATATAATTCACAAGACTATTATTGTTTTCGATATATATATATATATATATATATATATATATATATTATAATGGATTGAAGTTATTGGGATTTTAAATTAGCTTATATATTGAGAATACAATTTTCACTTGAAAAAATAATGGAAGAGACATTTTTGCTGACTCTCTAAAAGTTGATTCAACAGTTAGTTTTTAGTCATCCTCATGGGAGGGAAATTCAATTTCTAACATTTTTAAGGGGGAAAATGCAAATAATGCATAATCTCATATATTTATATTTTAAACCCCAAACTTTCGAAAATGATCCTTTAAACCTCACTGAAGCAGCAACATAGAGAGAGAGAGAATTACTCAGAAAAAGGTTAAATTGGAGATTTTAAGATTAAAACTCTTATTTATTGTCAAAGACCCTTTTTTTTTCTTTCACTGTCAAAGGAATACAGTGCGATTGCTTTCTTGTGAATCCACAAGTTGCTTCACTTACAAGGCACCATGAAAGGACTCAAACCAAAACAGAAGCATGCGTTTTCGCTGCAGCGGCCGGCGGTTTCCTCAATACCAAAACGGAAACGCCGTTTTCCACACCGCAACGCATCCAAACGCAAATCGCTGTATCCTCCCATGCATGCATACGTAAATCTTCTTTATCCTCCTATGCACCTTTATATATGATACAAAGTAGATACCCTTCTCAATGCAACAACAAACAAAAGAGAAGAAAAGAAGGAAACTGCATCTTCAGACCGTCAAAAAGCTGACCGCCAAAGAGCGTTTTCGCCTTCACCACAACGTCGGTGAACCTCTTTGATGCGGTCGGCCGATCTGCAGATGCCGCTGCAGCTCCAGTCGAATGATGCCACGCATATATTCCCGGCCTGCGCCTTCCATTCACAATCTGCAATATCCATAGAATAGTTACACATGGCTAAAATATTCATTCTGATATCTTTTGGGGCCGGTTATAGATTATATCTTGTTAGATTTGAAAGTGAAAGATTGATCTGGTTGAGGTTTCATGTCTTGAAAGAGACGAATCATCTGTAGATAGATATGGTTTTTGTTCACACTAGCAGAAAAACCGACGATATGAGCGTTTCATCCATCAAACAGATGAGAATGAGAAAGAGGGACATACCGGGAGGAGTACCACAGCATAGCCTTCTATCGTCGATGTGCTCAACATCGAGGCCGATAAACCACGACCCCAATGATACATCTTCATTGGCATACTTGTGGAGAACATTCCTGAAAATTTCAGACCCATCTAGATGAATTTGCCAAAAATATGATATGATCTCATTTCTTAAGGCGTTTAATCTTACTGATTTATGGATATGTAAGAGGCCAAGTCTTTTGAAATTGCGTATAGCTGTCCGGTAGCGTGGCGGAAATACTTGTTTCCAGACTCCCCGAATTTCCAGAACTCGGGTTCGTGATATCTCACTCCTCTGATCAACAATCAAATCCCGGAAAAGTTCAATAAAAACAACACAGAACCAACCTGATTTGAGAAATCATGTCAAGAACAAGTGAGAGATATGGCATTACTTTTGAGAGAGGACTGGACCCGACTTCATGCATCCTATGTAGACTCGAGGTTTTTTCTGGTGTCTGATGAGCGTTTCCCCGAGAGTTGCTTCCGATATCGCAACCAAATATCGAACCCGTTATTGAAATTTTCAACAAAAACATACAACCAATAACGGATTTAACTTTCTTGGTTAGATTCTATAGAGCTTACCAATGTTTACATGAACATCATCATCGACTTTGACATAGAAATCTGCATCCCACATTGAAACTGCTGTAGCAAAATACGTCTTTGTTTTGCCCGACAGCTCAAGGTATCCTTCAACATGATCCTGTTTATAACAACGCCAGAATGCAAACAACGATAAGAACTCAAGAAAACAGCTTTGCCAGATCAAAAGCATGATTTAAAACAAGAACAAATACCAATCTCAAAAAATCTCCATGCTTCCTGTCCTCAGCTTCAATGGCTCGATCTAGAATTCCCCCGGACGTGGCACTAAAAGACCAACGATAAAATCATCATATGAACAGCATGGTTCAGTTTGTGATACACAAACTCTCACCTGTGACCGATGACAAACCGGATGATAATTCCCTTCTCTTCTTCTAGCCTCTTTCGTTTTTCACCTTCAAACCCAAAATTTCCACAGGACATCAACGAACTTGTTCGATCGAGCGAATAAAAATGCAGACGAAAAGGGCAGATTTGCTAACTAAAAATCTGCACCTTGAGGCATCCAAGTAGCTCGAACAGAATCTCTTCTCTTTCGGCTGCTAAAAGCGGTATTAATCCCTACAACCATTAAGTATCGTCTTTTCCCGGGAGATTGATTCTTTCCCGTATCATCTGATAAGGGAGCTCCGCTTAGTAAAGTTTCCTGCACCGCCCTTGCAGCTGCTAACTCCATCTCTAAGTTCGATATGGTCTTATCCAATGTTCTGCAGTCAACACACATATTGTGTAACTTACTGTATAGCATTATGTGATTCAAGAAGAGATGGAAAACTTACTGTATAGCGTTATGTGTCTTGGCAACTTCCCCAAACAAAGCTCGGGGGTCGCGCATTACTTCTTTCTGGTAGAGCTAAAGGGGAGACAGATTAGATCATAAGTACAGAAAAAACAACAACTGGTAGTGGTGTGAGATCTTATGATGGAATCCATTGGAGGAAAAGGGTTAAATAGGATTGAATTGGCTTTGAATCAGTCCATTGTTTCTTACAGTTTTTGGATCACAGCCCTCGGAGATCAACTTCAACCTCTCAGCTTCTGTAACCAAAGGCCGAGCCTCGCCTTTGAGTTCTGGAACTTTCCACATCCTGCGGCAAATGTTTTGTCCCAATGGATTGAGACAAGGGTCAGAATTTCAACCTCACAACCTCAACACAGCAGCAGAAACCCAGTGAATGGCTTAGAGCAGACCTCATATTAGCAAATTATGGGTTGAGGAACACCCAAAGAGTTGAAAATTTCACCGCCCAGAGGCCGAAATTCCAGTCTTTTATAATATAGATTCTGATAAAACAATTGAAACCCCCAATTCAAATATGAAACGTATCGGCGAATCAATGAAGCTCCAAAGAGACGAATCACACCCAAAAAGGAGAAAGAAATCATCTAGAAGTGGTCGGGGAAAAGGTGAAGAATTTCGAAATTCGAATAGATTACCTATCGGTGAAGAACATTCCGGCGCAAAAGCAGCCCAAGCAGAGAAGATAAGTCAATTTCTTCGAGACGAAGCTTCTAGAAGAAAGATGCTCTCCTTTGATCTTCGCCGACATTTTCCCCCTCACAGCCCAGAACTTATAGATTGCCCAGTAACTACAGTAGCTATCTCAATCCAAGAAACTCCATTACCGGAGCTAAATCCTGAACCAGAACCCAAAAATCACCTCAGTCTTCGAGAGATTACGGAGCTAGAATCTCAGATTTTACAAAACCCACGAAGGATTGAAGCATGAAAAACCGTAAGTTTTCGCCTTTTTCCTCTTTGATTTGGAGCTAAGCGTTTTCTTAGCTCTCTCTCAATGCGATTTCACAGGAACGGGACGTTGAAGAGAAGGAAGAAGAAGCAAGAACGACTTCCCAACCGCCCGGGCACTGTTTATAACCGGGCTCAGAGTTTCCCGAATTTACCAAACTGTCCCTGTCGACACTCTTATTTATTTATATTGTTTTTGGAAAAACCAGTTCCTGTACTGTAACTATCGTTTTCAAATCTGAATATTGGAAAAAGCAACAACAACAAAATAATCGTTCTGTCGCTCCACCTGAACATGAACTTTTATTGCAATGACAGAAATGCCCTCCTCATTATTTTTTTTTGGGTGAGAATAAAATAATTGATATTATTAGTTGAATCGTTAAAATAATTTCTTTGGAAAAAGATTAACCCTGCATCAATTTCAGTGCTAACCTAACAGTTTTGCCCAATTTAGATTCTGATTTTTAATTGAATAATAAATTTTTATTACAAATCGAATGTTTTAAGTAGGCGGGTCAATGGAAGATAGAGCTAATATACACAAATAATGATAATAATGAATAAAATAAAAGTCTAATGGCACACCTAACAAATAACTCGATAATCGGCAGATGAGTAACTTGAAAATATATTGATATAGTATTATTTGTAGAAAATATATATGAAAAGGCCATGTGGTCATTGGGTTTTGGGAAGGTAACACATGCATCAATTATTTATATAGCATGTACAAATATTCTATTTACATAATCCATATTAACGTGCATTTGGATTCCAAATTTTAATTCAGCAACACGGTATGAAGGAAAACTGATAACGTGGAATGATCTTAATTAACGATCTAGCCTTCAAATGACTTTGTTTTAAAAAAAATACATTTCTTTCCTCTTTTACTATATAGTATTAACACTAATCAAAATACAACATTATATATTCTTTTAATTTCTACCTATAGTTACCGTAATGGATACTCAGACATTGGATGTAATATACACACACATAAGTCAATGGAAAAAATCCCTATAGAAATCATAAAAATAATATGAAATTATCAAGTGCATTTGCATACACAAAAATAATTTTGACCTTGATTACATTTTTTTTAACTCTATGCTATAATTGCCCCCAAGTCCTTGTTTGACTAATTGTATATAAATTTGATTTATATACACGTCGATTATATATAATTATGCTATCGATCTATATGTTAAAACTTCGGTATTCATATTCAGGATATTCGAATAATTTTTGTTATGGTACTTGCAAAATTTCACAATAACCGAAATCAATAAGCTATGAAATATACTTGATGGAAGATGTAATTTAAATAAAAAACACTAATAAATATTATTATAATAGTAATAACAATAAATATAAAAAAGGAAAAAATGGCGAAGCAAGGACACGTGATCATACCTCTGAAACGGGCACGTGTCATTAAGTAATTGGTTTATCAGTTCATTAGATCATGTGATGTCTTCGATTTCTGTCACATGGTCACTGCGAAAAGTATGCCCCAAGAATTGTGGATCCCACATCACGAGCTACTGACACGTGTCATCATGAGGTTTGATCTCACCTGATTATCAATTGGTTTAATTGTATAACATCTGTCCAAAATAGTACACGGCGGTGTTTAAGGATACGATAGTTAGCTTATAGTATTCAATTATTTGCTAGTTCAAGCAATTTTTATGATTTATTATATATTATAATTTTTGAACAATTGTACTGTTTTTCGAGTTCATCTCCATATATCTGTTATCCGTTTTGTAATTTTAATGAAAATTTTGAAAATTTCATTACTAGATAAGATTATATTTTTCACAAAAAAAACTTTAAATTTTTTAGTAATCAGTATCTTCATTGAAATAAATATTCTCAGCCCAGACCATGAGAAATTTCATCACCTCAGAACTCAAAACGAATTAAAAAAAAATATTGAATTCACATCTTTACAAAAAAAAAAACGAATCAAAATCTATATTTGAATAATAAAAGACATGTCCGAAAGAAATTAATCATAATAAAAAAGGACTCCGTGGTACTAAAGTAAAGGCAGCTAATATATAATAATACTAATAATAATAATAATAATAATAATAATAATAATAATAATAATAATAATAATAATAATAATAATAATAATAATAATAATAATAATAATAATAATAATAATAATAATAATAATAATAATAATAATAATAATAATAATAATAATAATAATAATATGCACTTATGCAGTTTACCTTACAAATACACATACCCCGGCCGTGTATATACATCAGAAAAATATTTCCCTTGGAAAAGTATATTTATTTTTAGAAATAAAAAATAAAAAATCTTTCTCTCTCTCTCTCTCTATATATATATATATATATATATATGTCGTTGTTGTTGTATATTTATATTTTTATTTACTCTGATGTATGTCCTAGGAACACACATACGTTGTATTTACTGAAACAGATGACAGTACAACAGTCATTTCAAAATGGAAATATATGTCTTTTCTGACCGGTTTCTGTTTTTTTTTTTTGCAAATTAAATCCCTATTTCTGAACGCAGTTTTAAATAAAAATGTCATTTAATATAATCGTGCATGCAATATTCCATGGGTACTTGTGCTAATTGCTGGCTTCTCAAGAAGTCGGTTCAAATTTATTCAAAATAATAACGTAGCTCGAACGAATTTGATTGGATCGATTTGATCTTATTACTATATAATATAACTGGAGATCTATTAATGAATCTAAAAAAATCGCATGATATTTACGTAGCACAAAAAAGATTTTGCATATGAACTCGTTGGACAATTTAAAAGTAACACGTTTCATGATTTGACTATCACCTGTACCGAATCATATATATAATACATGCATGCAACTGAGTTATGTAAATTGATTGAAAATAATTGTTTTTTTTTGTAATACTTCATTACTTCATAAATACGATTTTGTCATTTGTTTTAAGCTAATATCCGACATCATGGTAAGATTTTTGTACAAATCTTCAATGTTTTAAATAATGTGTAAAATCTAAAACAAATTAATTCTTATATATATAAAGGACATTTGTACCTAATAATTTGTTTTATACCTAAATTGGAATATGGATAGATAAACCAGTTTGATGTTTCTATCACAATCAAATGGGGACCCTATTTCATTGGTGTACCTCCGAGGAAATAAAACAAAATCATATATAAGTATATAACCATACATTTTGCATACGAATACTATCATCGATATACATGTGCATACATTTACATGTACCAAGAAAGCATATACATCAATACTAGAGTGTGACCTAAGTTTATACACCCATAAATACGGACGGTCAATTTGGTAGAATCATAATGAAAGGTACGGTTCGGTTTCAAACTGGAGTGTACTTTTCGACCACTAACCGAATATCACAACTAATGTACCAAGACCAAACCACTGAACCGGTCCGGTTAGTTGACCTGTCGGACGATCGAGCAATACCCTGAATCTCTCCGGTCAACTAAGTTGTCCTTTACCAAAAACCATGAGAGAGATATTTTTATTTTATGTGGTCGAACGCCAAACCGGATAGAACCAAGAAATCGTAGTTAGGATCCGGTTAAGATCGGTTAAGGGTAGTGGAATTTGGATGATGGAAAATGGTCAGAGGAGAGTTAGGTGCCTTGCTTGTTAAGAAGAGATTCCGTCGCTTTAGAAACACCTAATGTTTGGTCTCTCTGTTCTTCAAAGCTGCCATCCCATGAAAACGAACCTGTCTCTTGTTGCAACTCCTTTCTCAAAAGAGATCTCTTTTTTTTTTTTATTAATTTACCCCTCCATTTCAAGTATATACGGTATTATAAATATATTCAGTAACATTAAGATATTTAAGAATTTCAATAAATTAAAACCAAAAAAAATGTGCAAAGAGTGATGAAAACGACAAATTCCCAAGATTCATTTAGTGTCTCAAAAGATGGAACTCGGATCTTCTAATGAAGTGTTAGTCAAATCTTATGATATGATAGATAAATGGTTAAGGATCATACCCGATAAAATTCATCTAATTAAAAATACTTAGGAACAAAGTGATTAATTAATTAATTAGAAGATCCGACAAATTGTCTATTTTTTTTCTCAAAGATAATAAAGATTCTAGATTCAAGTGCTTTAAACTGCAGAAAATTGTCTCGGAGATTTCAGGTGTAAAGATGAATCAAAGTAACTAAAGATGGGTTTTATAAGATATGCTAAGCTTTTAGACAACCAAAATCCATCTTCAAAATTCCATGTTATTATATGGACTTCTTCCTTTTTTTTTTTCTAACACTCCCATATAAAAAATAAAAAAATTAAATTTCTAGGTATATATACGTTTATGTTTGTATAAATATGAAGTTTTCATATTTTTTTTTAAATGGGAAAAATTAATTTATATCCAGTGATACAATAGAAAAATTGAAAACCTCATTCACCTTAAACCTACTATTATCGAAATAAACAATTTTTTTTACTTTTTTTTACCTAGAGAAGCGGTATAATAATTTAAATATCATCGTTTTATCTTATTTGGTAAAAAAGATGCCATCGTTTTATCACAGGTAAAAATTTAAATTTTCATTATAGATATGGTCTCCTTAAATGCATGGTTATTATTATTTATCTCATAATTTAATGTTCTCAGCTCCCCAAAAGTATCAATATTGTGGCCAATTCGAACGAAGAAAAAAAAAATTGAGAAGCCGTATAATAATTTATGGCCCCAATCCATGCATTTGCCCTTCACCCCACCCACCTCTCTTTGTCTATGACCCCAATCCATAAATTATTCCCTTTAACCCCTTTTTTTAAAATAATTATTTTTTTTGTTTGTTAATTAGGAGCAGCATGCAAGTTGATGTGTTGATTCTTTCGATACCCAACAAAATTATTCTCGAACGTGTCTTTCGTCATTTCATTTTTTTTTCTCCATATATTCATTATTGGACCCATCTCTTTTATTGGAGTGTTTATAACATGTCCATTCTCACTGGGCATTGGCTCCACTCCCCCCTCGTGGTAGACCTTCTCTTCTCTGCTCACACTGGACTCGACGAGATTCCATTGGGCATCCATATATCTCACTCACGTGACGAATTATTGCACGTGCGAATAACCAAGCTACAGAAGGCTAATGGATTCTATATGAACCCCACTTGCTTAATTTACTTATGCTGCATGTCATGTGAATGTGTGGAATGACCATCAATTTGAGTTTAAAAACAAATTCCACTTGCTATCATCTGTATAAATCGTATTTTAGGTTTTAATTAGATTCACTAAGATCAGTAGCGGCCCACTGTTTCTGGAAAGCCATTTTAATTTTTTTTTTATAATGAAATAATCCACCCATTTTCTTCGGGTAGTGAACTTGGGAGATACAAGTGTGACCATTATATGAAATGAAGCTCTCTCCCTCAATCCTATAATGTCAGCAACTGAGACTTTTGATCGATGCCGTTGAAAATGTACGTCCCCGACATTGGGACAAACTGCTTGGTTACAAGCTGCAAGTCAGTAGAAACAAAACAGACTGTTAGAAACCATGACAGAGGTAAAATCTTCCTGTTTTAACCTTTTACTGTCTGGTAAAAACATGTCTACTCTTCAATCCACGGTTATAAGAGGATCAAACTGAATGCAACTTCTAAAACTGTAACCTACTTAGTGCTACGAGAACCGTCCTAGATACGAAGCAGATAAGAATCAAAGCAAAATCCAAGTGCTAGGAAGCTCGTGTTCAAAAGCTAGCAAGGGGAAACAGATGCGTACGAACGAACAAACCTTGATTACTTCTTGAGATGCAATTCCTCCGATAAAGGCAGCAACTGCATGAAGCTCTGAAGCACCAAACCGGCACATCTCATTGATTAGATCTTCAGGCAGTATAAAGCCGTTACAACCAATGTCGCTTAGAAGGCCTATGGCTGTAGTTTTCAACCGAGATATGTCCTCGTCCATTCCTCTACAGGAAAAGAGACAGTGTTAATTAGCCAAAAAGTGACACTAGTTCAGAATCAAAATAACCATTGTGCTGTTATGAGCTCTTCTTACCCATCAAACTCTCCAGGAAATCTATTATAGTTGGCTGCGAATCTATCAACAGCTCTAAGAAGAATATAGAATCCCATTGCACCGCTGTGAGGAGTAAACAGAAAAGTGGTAAGAGCAAAGCCTTGCAAAAGTTTGTCCAAATTGAAAACTGGAAATGTCTAATTTTGTCCATGTTGAAGACCAAGATAAAGTACAAGGTTGGTGAATCTGCTGCTCCTACCTGTAGTCTTCATCAGTCAAAAACTTTTGCACCTCAGACACTGAAGGATTTCTGAGTTCGTCCTCTATCATGCGATACCTGCATACCTACAAGGCAAATGTTGATACCATTATTTAAACCAAGTGATATTGTAGAATATATTTACACACAAAGGAAAAGAGAAAAGGAAGTAGAAATTGCATAGCCAGAGGCATGCGCAATTTTCCCCTCACTGGGAGAACAAGATTTATAATTTAGAAGGACAGGTTACGAATTGAAAACCCACAATAGTGTAATAGGGTATACACACAGCCAAACACAGACATCAAATGCATTGCCAAAAGGGAGAAAAAAAAAAAATAGCGGTCTCACTTTGAGTTTTCTTGCATTCTTGCAGAAGCTCTTGATTGTTGGCTTAGAGATACTATTTGGATCTCGGCCAATTTTCTTTAGTATGTTTTTAACCTGTTTCTCCATGACAAAACAATCAGCCTCGGCTTTGGCTTGGTAGATTTTCTGCAAATTGATATAGTGCCTGAAATTGCAATAAGACAGCTACATGGTTATCTGACTACAGGTTAAAGTACAAATTCTAGCAATCTCCAGAACAAGAGGACTAACTCTGTTGAAGATGTCATATCTGGTATGGAGCCTTCAAGTGGTGCCTCCCCAGCACCTTCGTTTGAAACAAACTCCTGCAGGTCGTACATGATGAGTATGGTCATAATCTTGTGCAGTGCAGGAGAAGCAGAAACAAGTTGACACTCCCAAGAGTCGCTATTCATTAACTAAAGTATTATGAATTTAAGAGTGAACAAACTTAAAGCAGTCTGCAACTGGATTTATTCTGCAACCTTCAGTTTCACCAAACCGACAAGTACAGCAGTTTGAGGAACAAATGACACAAGACATTGTAGTAAGTGTGGCCATTAATTTTTAAAAGTATAGACCTTACAAGAAGGGCCGACTTGGCTCAGCGGTAAAACCATTTATCGTGGGGTCTGAGGTCGCGGGTTCGAATCTATCTCTCTACATTAAAATGTAGGGATAAGGTGGCCTAGTATATTCCCCATCACCCCACTAGATGGGGATACGAACTGGGTTGGTCCTTGGTCCTTATAGACCTTACAAAAGAAACTAGTCTAATATACTAAACTCCATCAGCTGGCCTCTAGATCTAATATACTAAACTTGAATATGTCCCTATTATATTTTGAAATGATGATCCAAATTCCCAGCATGATACAGATATATTTGGTATCTTGCATTTCTGAAGTTGAAACAAGAAAGAACGAGATTTACGGTTTTGAAGTAACTAACCTTCAGAGCCGCTACCATTACCCAAAAATCTGAGGAGTTGGGACTGACATCAGCAAAACTATCATCAATAATCTGTTGAATCTCTGGGCCTGCCGGATAAAATGGTTATGTTTGACATAAAAAATATTATAATTTGACCCATGTATAAGGTTTCCTTTACTTATGCAGAAATTAGGCTGCCTTCAAAACTTCCCCTTATATCAGATATGTTATACTAGAACTCAAAATAAAATATGGCTGCACAAAGACCATTTTGGCAATTGGCACTCGATACAAAAAGTTCACCTTTAGTAAATAATCATGTTTTTCGGACCAATTTAAGAAATTTTCCACATATACAGGGACAACAAATTCTAGAAACAGTTTCAATCCATGTAGCATGAGATGTTTTCTTACTAATTCCTCGAGGGGCAAACACTTTGAAAGAAGTTTCGATAGCTTCTTTGTAGTTATCCTCATCCATTGATATCATCTTGGACTTAACCAAATCCTAATATTTCAAGATGGATAAAGATAAATTAGATTAATGTATAAGAAAACATGAAAAAGGTAAAAGATTCTGCAAAGAAACCACAAAAAAGAACCAAACCTTAAACTCCTTTTTCTCTTCCCGGGTCGAGGGAAGGTTACCACCATGGTTTTGAGCCCATTCTTCGGCCACCTTGACAAGAATGACAACATAGGGTATGTGCTTATGGTTAACAGGATCTGGTACATTTAAATCAATCAACTCAACAAACCTGCAGTGTAACGAATAACAAAATATTACTCATATCACCCAGTTGCCAACTCACACTGTTGTACCAAGACTAAAGGGTGTCAAGACGATGAAAAAGCAATCTACCTCTTGAGTTCAGGCCATGGATTATTCAACCGGAGGTCATCAAGAAAATGATCAGGCTTTGACTCAACCACAGCGTGCTCCTGATAGACATGAAAATAGATGACTCAACTCCAAGACAAGAAAATAATAAACCACTGCATACCACACGGATGACGCTAAACTCCAAGAGAAGGAAAGAATACATGTTTTCTCTAATACAAAATTGAATCAGGAAAATGAGTACCTTTACACTAATCCGAACATAACCGGTAAGGCCATAGGAGCGAGCAAGAACCAACATGACATTTGCCTCTCGACAGATTCTATCAAGTTTTACCGCTGAATCTTCCACCAGCTACAAACCAAACACGAACAAGGATATATTAAACAATTCAGTGAAGAACTGACAATGATGTCCGTGAAATTCTCTAAATGATAAGAAGGTCATGTACAGTCATTCTCCTCTATATACCGGAGAAAGCTATAACCTGGATAGGACATTACAGTTACATGCTTTCTTCAAAGAAGGTTAAGGATATTACCAGCTGAAAACCACCATACCTGAGTGGCCACGACGATGGTGAACTGAGAGAAGAAAGATGGGCTTGTCCGTATCAGTGTCTCTGGCTGCTCCACAATGAACTTAGCCTTAACAGCATCATTTAGCTCTTGAAGAAACGCACACGCACACTTGGATTTTGACTGTCCAACACTTGCCTCATCCACTGCATAAAACAATCACCATTTCCAGACACGACGGATACAGATATGAATACGTATAGATACATAAACCAACGCATGATAATTCTCGGGAGTGAAGTAAATTTGAGGCGGCGAAAGCTGGAGAACGTTACCCATGAAATTGTTTCCGAGGTCTCCGATTTCGACCTTGGATCCGTCAACAATGGTGATGCTGCCTACTCCTCCGAGGACGAGGTTCTTCAACGCCTCGGTGCCAGTGGGACCGCAATTGAGCAAACAGATGCTCGCTTCTTCCAGAGCCGTTTGCCCTAATTCTCCCCAAATCCTGCAAATTTTTCCATCGCCTCATCAGATTACAAAAATTCCAGCTTAAATCGCCAACTTCCTTTGTCCGAAAATGATTTCTAAATCAAACGAACGAAGATCAATTGGAACAATACAGGGAGGAGCCGAGTTCGACCACCATAGTTTACCTGAGTTGACGATCGTACTTTGTCTTGGTCTCCGCCATTGTTTGCTCTTCTTCAAGCTTTTCCTGGCTCTTTCACTGGATCGCTTCACAGCAACGCAGAGAGAGAAGAGAGTCCAAAGAAGAATGCGTTTGGTCAAGTTCCGGTACGATTTGATTAAATAATTTAACCAAACCGCGTGGTAGAACTGAACCGAACCATATTTGAAAAAAATCCTGAAATAATTAGCCAAGGCCCTAGGAAATGTTTAGTAGTAATTGCTGAAAGTTCTGTATTTTTTACAATTTTTTTTTTTTTGGGGGGGGCTCCATATTTGCAGATTTTACTTATGGTAGATTTAGTTTTTAATCCTTTAATTCAATTAAATCTGATTATTTTGGTGATGCATATGTTCATATTTTCTCCTCCACCATGTTAATCTCAGAAATTTATCTGTCTTAATCCAACATTAGCTCTTAAATTAACCTTTTAAAGATCTGAAAAGTGAAAACCATCTGTTGTTTTTTAAATATCAGGACAAACATGAAAGAGGATTTCATTACAGTTCTTGAAATCTCAAGAGCTTGAGCATCTGGGTTTCATTCCATAAAATTTCCAGAATCCAAAAGAAAGAATTCTACTTCTGAACAAATCTGAACATACACATGGATAGATGATGAACATAATAAACACAAGTGAGTGAAGTGAGTGTACACAAAAAACTGGAAACAATATCACTTCTTCTTCCCAGCTTTGCCTTCTTTCCTACGGACAACTTCGTCGGCATACTTAACTCCCTTACCCTTGTACGGCTCCGGAGGCCTCCACTTCCTAACCGTAGCCGCAAACTGTCCGATGTTACTCTTATCATATCCGCTGACAATGATTCTCGTGTTTTCTTCCACTTTCACTTTGAGGTCATTCGGTATTTCCATCCTCACAGGGTGAGAAAACCCGAGATTCAGAACCAACTCTTTTCCTTCAACCATTGCTCGATATCCCACACCGATAAGTTGGAGCCTTTTCTCGAAACCCTTTGACACTCCCACTATCATGTTGTCTGTGAGTGTCCTAAACTCGCACAAGCTAAAGAATTAGAACAATCTCTGGCCATGGAATCTCAAATTGTTTTAGCTTTTTACACATTGGTAACTACTGTAATGGTTTTACAGAGAGAGAAACTCAAACCCCCAGAGCTACTCTGTTCTCAAACTAACCAAACTACTTCACTTGCAGCCGGTCTTTTTGCAGTAACCGAAAGAGAAGGTTGAGACTTTTTACCTGAAAAGCCCATGCATCTGGTTGGCTCGTCTGGTTTCAACCGTCTTTCTGACCCTCAGTGAACCGGAATCCTCTTTCTTAACCTCCACTTCGCGTGGATAAGTCAGCGAGAGCTCTCCCAATGGACCCTTCACTTTCAAATCCTGACCCGCTAATGTAATGGTTACATTGGATGGCACCGCAATAGGCTGCTTTCCTATCCTTGATTCCTTGCACTCCACGGTCTTACTAGAGAAACCCACATTGACAACATGAGCCCTGGAGGCTCGGAACCCTCTTCCATCTCCCAAAAATACGGAGCGAAAATTGCTGAAAGCAAGAGAAAAAACCATCTTCACAAAAGCTTTTTCCAATATGGTTTAGCTGCCAGATAATTCGCCAAACACAAGACAAGACTCCACAATGACAAAGCTACAAGTAAAGCCACAGCTCTATCCCTAAGCACTTCATTGATACATGATCAAGAATATCAGCAGAATGAGACAAGAAGTTTGAAGTGAGTTACATTGCTCCAGTAGTTTAGCAGCATGCGCGAACAGATACAAATCTTTTTATGCTTAGAAACACATAGTAAAACCTCCATCTTTCGGCAAAAACCATAGGTTTTTGAAAGTTTTTCATGGATACATTTGCTTATCTAATTCGAGTTCGAGCTTCGCTAATCTCTGAATTCTAAATTCGCTACGAGAAGGATGAGAAAAACCAAATGCCCACATGGTGAATAGAAATTTCAAAACTCTAACAAATTCTAGATTCCGGATTATATCACACCCACAATTTTCGCGATACTGGAAGGAACTACACAATAAATGAGAAAAAAGAAAAAAGAGAAACCGTACACGGAGAAATGAAATTGTACTCGAAAGATACGTGTTTATTAATCATTAAACCTGGTTTGGAAATTTGATGCGAGAGAGGACGCCATTGCTAGGGTCTCTGGAGTATCAGAAACAGCTAATCCTCAAGGAAGATGGAGAAGACGCGAACATGGGGCTCACTTATCCATATTCTGTATCCTTCTGCGTGAAATGACGAATATACCCTTATCTTTTGAAACATTTTGCTTTGGGCTACATCAAATGGGCCTCTCTAATGGGCCAAGCAGAAAACTAATTTGTTAGTCTTTTTCGGCCTCAGAAATGAGCCCTAAATAATAAATCTAATCTAATCATTTAAATCCCTCAATTTTAATTTATGAACTTAAACTTGAATGAATGGTGTCTCTATTTGGCCTTGATGGAATCCTTATTTTCCAAACTAAAAACAGATTTTCAAGTGTAAAACAATAAATTTGTTTTAAAATGTTTGATCATTTAGTAAAAGGGTTGAAAGAATACAGTATATATGTGTGTGTATATGTATACATAGAGACAGGAACAATCTAAGGATTCGTTAGCAAGGGAATTAATGGCGTTTTCTGATTAAATGCAACATTAATGGACATTGATTGCTGAAATCTACCCACCACACGATGCATGACACTTATTCTTGCTATCAAGAGGCATATGAGGAGAAAAATTACCCAAATAACCCATTTGGTGGCATCTATTTCAGTGTACATCACTGGAAAAAAAAATTCAATTTTAACCCACTTTTCGGTTGTAAAAGTCGGAAATACCCTTTTCGTTTTATTTTTTGTGACTTTATTACGACTAACTTATAACTATATACAAATAAAATAAGACAGCTGATTTTTTTTGTCACCTTTTTTAGAATCAATTGTAACTATATTTAGACTTAATTACGAAGTTGTTTTCGAATAGATAAATATCGTAATTCATTAAGGATAATTTTGTCTTTTCACATGAAAAAAAATGTGTTATGTTTTCGGTGGTGTAGAGATAAAATAGATGCGAATTTGGTTAAAAAACCCATTTGAGGCGGATGACAAAAAGGGAAGGGACCCAAGGCTCCAAAAAAAAAAAATTCCGACTTGCGTAACAGAGAGAAATGAATTGATTGGTTGCGTTTACCAATTTCGTCGACTCACAAGTCCTCTCACTTGAACAGTCTCCCCTGTTTTTCACGTTTCCATCTCTTCTGCATCTCAGTTTTCAAGCAGAAGCAGCAAGAGAATGGGAAAAAAAGTTGGAGAATTTGGTTGATGATGGCGTGATTTGGTTTCAAAGTTCGTTTCTTTTTGCCTTTTTTTGCTGTTTCAATCATCTGGGTCAAGTTATTTCATGATTTTTTTTGCATGTCCCTCTCAATTTTCCTGTTGATTATGCTGTTCTTCCGTTGTTAAAATCCTGTCTTATAAGCATTTTGTCTGAAATCATGAAGGCGTTCCCCGTGTTTTTACAGAGAGAGGCTGAAGTTCGAGGAGAGAGGCGAGAGAGCTGTCTGGTAAGCTTCCTCTCCGGTTTAAATTTGATTCTTGTGCCAACGCTTTGATTGACTCTCTTTCTGAAGTATCCTATGTAATGTTTTTGCTTACTGATATGGATGATTCATGAACAGAGATAGATGTTCTTGCATAACACATCGAACTCTGGAATTCTTGCTTTGATTCAGTTGTCAGCATGGGACTGGTCATGGACCGTTGTGTGGCTCTAAGGACAGTGATGGTTCTGTTCTGTCTGGTGGTTCCTGCTAGGTGCCAACGGCCGAGCGTGGTGAACGTTGGTGCGGTTTTTACTTTCGATTCGGTCATTGGACGAGACGCAAAGGCAGCCCTTGAAGCGGCTGTGTCTGACGTTAACGCTGATCCGACCATTCTCAAAGGAACTGAGCTTAGGCTGGTGATGGCGGATTCTGTATGCAGTGTCTTTCATGGGACCTTTTCAGGTGCCATCTTTGTGCTTGTTACTTCTTGTCCTCTTCAGAAAACCTCGAAAACTGACATGGTTCTGCCCAAATGGGTTTACTTTCTTCACATAGTGTTATGTGGTTTAAGTATGGTTTTCTTCTGCAGCTTTTCAAGTTCTTGGGGAAGAAGTGGTGGCTATGATCGGTCCTATCTCATCCTCCATTGCTCATACTCTGTCAGATATTGCCAAAGGGCTTGAGGTTCCTCTCGTCTCATTCGCAGCAACTGATCCAACTCTCTCTGCTCTTCAGTTTCCCTACTTTCTTCGCACCACACCTCACGATGCTCGCCAAATGGCTGCCATGGCGGATCTGATCGACTTTTACGGATGGAAAGAGGTGGTTTCTGTTTACTCAGACGACGACCTCGGTAGAAATGGAGTTGCAGCCTTAGACGATGAACTATACAAGAGAAGATCCAAACTCTCCTACAAAGTGCCACTCCCCTTGCACGCTGATGAAAACTTTGTCATTCATGCTCTGAACAAATCGAAATCCCTCGGTCCCCGTGTCTATGTTCTTCATTTCGGCCCTGACCCGAGTCTCGGAATCTTCCGTGTAGCACAGAAACTGCAGATGATGACCCGTGACTACGCCTGGTTCACCACAGATTGGCTCTCTGTTACATTAGATTCTTCTCTGGATGATAAAGGTTTGTTGAAGAGTGTTGAAGGAGTAATAGGTCTTCGTCAACATATCCCTGAATCCATCAAGAAGCAAGATTTTATGCAGAAACTGAAGGGAAACGGGTCGATGAATGCGTATGCTATCCGTGCTTATGATACAGTCTGGACGATCGCTTACGGCGTCGAGAAGTTGTTGAGTGACGGAACCAACATCACGTTTTATTACTCCAAGAAGTTACTCGGGAAAAAAGCCACGAGACTGAAGCTAGAGAAGATCAGAGTTTTCAACAGCGGTGAGCGTCTGCTTACAAAACTTCTGCAGGTGAACTTCAGCGGGATATCGGGTCCAGTTCAGTTCGGTCCTGATCAAAACATCGTTGGAGGTGACTACGAAATCATCAATGTCGATAAAACAGGCGTTGGAACTGTTGGTTTCTGGTCAAAGAATGGAGGGTTTTCGGTTGTTCCACCAGAAACTCGAAAAACACGGAAGAAGAATGGCATTCTCGTGATTTCGGATGATCAGAAACTCGGGGAAGTAACATGGCCTGGAGGAAGGCGCGAGAAACCACGCGGATGGGTCATAGCGGATTCCACGAAACCGCTAAGAATCGTTGTCCCGAGAAGAGCAAGCTTCGTCAACTTTGTGACAGAACAGAACAGAAGCCATCAGATACAAGGTTACTGCATCGATCTCTTCATCGAAGCGTTGAAGTTCATCCCTTACAATGTTCCTTACACGTTCGAGGCTTTCGGGGATGGCCATTCAAATCCAAACTATAACCAGATTGTGCAAATGGTTGCAGACGATGTAAGTATGACAGAAAATCCTTCTAAATCCATTGGAGTAAAAAAAAAACCCGACGATTAGGACAGGGCATTGGTCTGGTTTTTTTCAGGTATATGATGCAGCAGTCGGAGACATTGCCATTGTACCGAGTCGGATGAAGTGGGTGGATTTCTCTCAGCCTTACACTTCAATGGGACTCGTCGTGGTAGTTGCCGTCGATGAGAAGAAATCGGATACATGGATTTTTCTCAGACCCTTCACCATTTGGCTGTGGTGTGTGGTAGTGGTCTCGTTCTTGGTGATCGGCATTGTCATTTGGGTTCTCGAGCATCGTGTCAACGACGCTTTCCGAGGGCCTCCGAAGCAGCAGCTGGCCACCATGATCTTGTAAGTCAGCACCAACCAGACAGAACACAATCTCAAGAACATAAACTAGTTCAGGATCATGTCCTTTCTTGATTATCAGAAACCGGAATTCTAAGTTCATTCTCGGTTTTGTTCATCATTCTTCCATGCAAATGCTTTCATTGCAGGTTCAGCTTCTCGACTCTTTTCAAAAGAAACCGTGAGTTGTCGTCCCTCGTCTCCTCAAACCCGAGAATTAAAACACTTTATATCGCATTATATATATACTCACAAGATTGTATCTTCTTTCCCCGGTTTTTTTCAGAGGAAAAGACAGTAAGCAATCTTGCAAGACTAGTGATGATAGTGTGGCTCTTCTTGCTAATGGTCCTAACCTCGAGCTACACCGCCAATCTCACTTCAATACTGACGGTGCATCAGCTTCCCTCGCCCATCACCGGTATCGGGAGCCTTCTGATCAACAACTTGCCCATCGGTTATCAGAACGGTACGTTCACAGACCAGTACTTAACCGACAGTCTTGGTATGGCTCGGTCGAGATTGGTGGCACTTGGCACGCCTGAGGACTACGAGAGGGCCCTGCGGCTCGGGCCGAGGTCCATCGGAGGTGTAGCCGCCATTGACATGGGTCTGCCCAAATGGGTT